CTATGAGATACTACTGACCCTGTTCCAGCCCTAGTTGCAAGAACCCTTGCCCTACCCATTACCTCATTCACCTGCATGTTCTCTATCCCCTGGATCTGTTGTAGTTCTATACTAATGTCCTCCGGAAACCCAGTCACGAAACTCAGCTTCACTACCTCCTCCAATCCACTCCCCGTCAGCCCACTCTCTCTGGCCATTCTCCTGATGTCATTGGCGAAAACGTCCACTGGCTCTCCAGTCCATCTCGCTGATTTCAACTTACAGTATGCAGTAAACCTACTATCTGAAAAAGCTTCCACCAGTTTCCTCTTTATAACCTCCGCATCTTCTTTATCCTTGTCGGACAACTCTAAATATATAGCTAACACACTCCCTTCTAAGTATAATGGAATAAACGCTGCCAGATCTTTCACCTTAGTCAATCTCGTCACCAGTTCCACTTTTTAAATCCATGCCCCAACGTCGCCTTCCCCACTAAACACCCTAACCATCTCTGACACTTTGAGCGTTGGAAACGATTGCGAAGCCATTGTGAAATTTCTTTGTAGGCCGAAACAGCTTGTTGAGTAAGGGCTCACCTTGTGTTCCAGGGTTCTTTCAATGTTTCTTTGTAGGTGAAGATAAGGGGCCCCCTTCTAGATGAATATTATTTCTTTCTGCAATCTGGCGCGACTGCCCGCCTCTAATGGCCACTGCTGTCTGCCCCACTCAACTCAGTCCCTCTTTTCACTCACTCGTGAGCACCGGGTCTCTCCAGTCCCGTGAATCTCTCCAGGCCTGTGCGGGGTCAGATTGTTACCAGTAGAGACTGGCCGGTGTCAACTATTCTTTTACACCACACCGATCAACTAAGGTCAAAAGAAAAACCCAATCCAGCTGGACATAGAACACAAACAATTTATTAACCTTCTCTTGAATCTCTCTATTTTGAATTATTATAGATTTTCTAAACAAACAAAAAGCAACTTATACTTTCAAAAGAAACAATAAAAAAGTCTGATCTAAATTTTGTCCCATTCTTATGCTGTGCAATGATCAGTCTAAATTCCAACAGCTCTAAAGCAATCAGTACACACTCTGCATTATCAAGCCAATTCTTTCATGTTCGGAGGATTGAATAATATCGAAAATGAATGACAGAAAGTTAGATTTGCATGACACACAAACCTTTGGCAGATTTATAAACTTTTCTCAATGTCTCGATCTCCTCTGTGTTCCAGATGGCTGACTTCCGTGGGTCAATTTTTTTATCTTCCACTTCTTCTGCAAAAAGAAACCAAAAATATAAATTAACTTTCAAAATAGATAGAAGATGAGTTCCTTATTTAGTTTGACCAAATCCATGCTGTACACTCAAATACTGAACTTATTTAGGATTTTCTAGTGGCTCATCCAAAAAGAGACCATCTTTATGAAGTAACAAAAACAAATCACTATATATTCAAATATGGCAATTATCACTGTTCTCATTTATTCAGTAACCCACTGGCTTTTGACGCCTAAGCCTAGCCTCAATTGTGTCCAAGGGAATGGCAAGCATAGTATAGAACTTCTGTTATCAACATTCTAAATGCTTTGAATGAACAGTAGTGTAATTGCGCAACATATCCATAGGTATGGGGGGG